ATTTTTGCTGTGCCAAGTGTAGGGTTGCCAGGTCACTTCATCTTGCTGACAAGGGGGGTTTGGGGGGTATTCTGGGAGTGGGTGGGGTGTCACATGATGCACTGACATCACCCGGTAAAAGTGACCTCAAACCATACAGTTATGTCCAAAAAGCAGAGCGTCACTCCCCAACTTCACTGATGTCACTTCCGGGTGATGTCAGTGCGTTGTGCAGGACGGCACTGTTTTGGGAGGTGGAGGAATTTCTTCCAGCCAGCCAGCTAGTCTGCGGTGGGCAGGAGCCTGTGAAAGCAGGGGATTCCCCTGCCTGGACCTGGGGAATGGCAAGCCTAGCTGGGTGTACAATATTATTTTTTGCATCTGACAATAAGAGCTAGCTAAACAAGATTATTAGTTAGTAAAATGCATAGACTCCACCCATTACTCCAAAGAGATCCTCAGAAGACAATTTTTTCCCTGATTGTAGCATAGTGCACAGTCTTCTGCTGCTCCCAGATTTTGTTGATTGAGGGCCTAAGTTAGTAGAAAACCTTTGATTTCTAAAAGTTTAATTTAGCCCCTGCCTATAAATACACAAAGTTACTAGTCCCCAATTGTTTTTTATTATACCACTTTTCACATATCTATGATAATCATCTGTGGCCTACAAGATAAAAAATAGCCAATTTTTATAAAGCTTTTTTGGCTAGTTGCCTAAAGTTAATTGCTATTAGTTATTACAGTTGGCTGGCTATTTTCGGTATCAAAATTCTTTCATATGTTTAATACTACATTAAAACTTGACAAGCCTCTGAGAGGGTAACTAGTTATTATTTGTGTGATTGAAAACAGTACAATTTTTAAAAGAGATTCTTTTCTTATAATAATTTTTATTATTTTAAACAAACAGACATACAACAAACATACACGAGAGTAATAATAACAACAACATATCTCTTAAATCACCTCATACATATATATCTAAATGCTATTTTTCCCACCATATGATCACCTAATGTTTTGCAAATCTATATTTTTCAATCAATATTTTTAACTATCTTATTCTATATGTCTAACTTTGAATATGCCTTAAAGTTGCATAATCACCAAAATCTATAATATTTGCATCTGTGTTGATTAACAAGACCTGTTTTCTTCTATTTTCTTCTATAACAGTCTTCTATAAAATGTATTTGACTATTAACTAATTTCTATACCAATTTCCGTAGTCATATACTTTTCTCATTCTATTTGTGCTGATTATTTTGACATCAATAAAATAAAAGAAATTCTCCAGTCTAGCTCTTACATCACACTGCGTTCTTAATATCAACTTTTTTTATACATTCTATCCTACGTTTCCATTTATTACATATATTCCCTATACATTCTTCCCCAGTTACACAAACTCATGGGATCCTTTAACCCATCTTATTTATATAACACCTTTTAAAAATCAAATTAAGTCCTTAATATCTTTATAATTTTGCCATCTGTGCAATCTTCTATTATAGACTTTCTCTAAATAAAAATCAAGATTTTCAATATACTTCTCTATCCAATCTTAATCAAATACACATTCATTAATATTCTATAAAATAGTCCCTTTCCCCTCCCCCAATTTCTTCTCTTATACTTAATAATATCATTTATTTTAAGACTTCCCAAGTCACTTAAAATTTATCTTCCCTTGTGGGCTATAGTTTTGTAAGTATATATTTAAAAAGATATATCTAAATGCTATTTTTCCCACCATATGATCACCTAATGTTTTGCAAATCTATATTTTTCAATCAATATTTTTAACTATCTTATTCTATATGTCTAACTTTGAATATGCCTTAAAGTTGCATAATCACCAAAATCTATAATATTTGCATCTGTGTTGATTAACAAGACCTGTTTTCTTCTATTTTCTTCTATAACAGTCTTCTATAAAATGTATTTGACTATTAACTAATTTCTATACCAATTTCCGTAGTCATATACTTTTCTCATTCTATTTGTGCTGATTTTTTTGACATCAATAAAATAAAAGAAATTCTCCAGTCTAGCTCTTACATCACACTGCGTTCTTAATATCAACTTTATTTATACATTCTATCCTACTTTTCCACTTATTACATATATTCCCTATACATTCTTCCCCAGTTACACAAACTCATGGGATCCTTTAACCCATCTTATTTATATAACACCTTTTTTATCAAATGAAGTCCTTAATATCTTTATAATTTTGCCATCTGTGCAATCTTCTATTATAGACTGTCTAAATAAAAATCAAGATTTTCAATATACTTCTCTATCCAATCTTAATCAAATACACATTCATTAATATTCTATAAAATAGTCCCTTTCCCCTCCCCCAATTTCTTCTCTTATACTTAATAATATCATTTATTTTAAGACTTCCCAAGTCACTTAAAATTTATCTTCCCTTGTGGGCTATAGTTTTGTAAGTGTATATTAAAAAGATTCAATTGTAGCCAATATTGATCAGTTACATATATATAAAGATTCCCTAGCCCATCTTAGCCAGTTACACTTAAGGAAAGGTTCCCTAAGCCAAACTTATTTATAGAACTTAATCCTTTTCTTCTTTTTGTAACTCCTTGTTTTCAATAAAGTCTTAATTCTACGTCTTTTTCCCTTATGAGAGGATTTCTTTTAGGACTTACCATCTGTATTCAATTTTTAGGGTAGTTAAGGGTTCAATAAATTCTATTACATCTTCTCTCTGGAATATTTTTCCCTTTATCACTTTGAGGATTCCAGAGTTTGACAAACTTTTGATAAGTCTGTTATTGTCACTGTAGGTTGAATCAGCTTAATGGTGGTGTTGTTTTTACTCTTGTCCACTTTGTTGTTGGAGTTCCACACTGCGAGTTATATCAACTTGATTGTAGTGCTGTCCTGCATCTTGCCAATTTTGATATTTAAATTCCTTTCCCCTATATGTTAGGTCAGCTTGGTTGTAGTGTTGCTGTGCTTCTTGCACTGTTTGATGCTGGAATTTGGTGTACTGCCTTTTTAATCCAGTATTGGCTCAACAGCATCATTGACACCCAGATTGACTGCTTCAACCATTAAAGTCTGGAGCTCTTCCCATGACAACTACAACAGGCTGGTTTCTGCGGAGCCATCTAAGCATATATCATCTGGCATTTTTTTCTATGAATCCTGATCACCCATTTTAATTCACTAGCAGAAATCGAGGTTCAGCCCAGCAATCCTCAAAATCTCTGTGAGTTATTTTTCCACAGAATCCTCAAGCTGACCGCATTTATCAGCTAGTGGCTCTCATAGAGGAATTAACAACCAAGAATCTTTCAACACCATTTACATGCTTTGCAGCTCTAGTCATAATAAATTCCTCCGTTCTCAGCAGTGAAGCATGACGTCATAAAAAGTTGCCACAATAAAAATGAATTAAACTCTACAAACCTTCCTTCCTGCCTGCCTGCCTGCCTGCCTGCCTGCCTTCCTTTTTCTAAGGAAAACTTTATAATCCTTTTGTAGAAGTTCAGACAATAAGCTCTCTTTGCCCCAAACAGTATTCAGATTGGCTTTGTTTGCATAAATCGTCCCGGCCGCTCCGCAGAGAAAGGAGGGGGGGGAGTTTCACCCTTCCTTTCTTTGTCCTTTTAAAACTTTAATGGGGCTTAACCAGGAGGTCGTTTCTTCGATGTTGCTTTTACAGGTACTTACGGTGTGTTTCTTCATCGATGTTATGGATGAGGCTCAATATAACTCTCTTGATTTTGGGGCGTTCACAGCTGGTACAGTTATGGCTACCATAACTGCTCTGCTTCATTGCTTGCTTCTGGGACAATCCAGGGCATCCGCTCACTTGTTGCCTCAAGGAGGGTAGCCGAATCAACTCCCTTGCACCAGACCTCCCTCCATGGGGTCCAGAGGAGTTCGGGATCCCCCAAAAGCTCCTCTAAAACAAACAAAGAGCCAGTGGTATCCGGGAGCAACTCCCGGTTCCAACTGTGTTGCTGTGCTGCAGCCCCGCCTCCCCCAATTTTTCAAAGAGATTCTTAATGACTCTGTAACCAAGTTTCCATTAAGAAAAATGAGATTTACAGAAAATGTAACCCACTGTTCTGAATGCAGGCCACCAGCATTTGCTATACATGCAGTTTTTACACTCTGTGGCAGGAGCAACAGATTTACATTGTATTGGCTCAGAGGATTCCTTTCTGCTAAGTGAAGAGTCTTTTTTTGAGGAAATAAATCTTTTTTTCAAGACCCTTCCATTGGAAAGCAACTCTTCAATTAGTGGAGGAAAATTCTCAGATATAGGCCACTGCATGCACATCAGAACACAATATTTGAAGTGTTTTCTGCTTCATTACCTTTGACGCTTCAATTAGACAAATTTTATTTTATTTATCAAATACATTTTTGCATGGAAGTATTAAATGCATTGATTTTTCCATTGATTCATTATCTGATTTGTATTTTTCAGTAATAACAAGTAGTGGCTACAGTCCAAGATCAGCGCATCAGTACTCACCGCAGCTGTATCCCTCCAAGTTAGTGAGCATGCATCTTAAAATATGTTACTGTGTATATTCCACTTCAGTCCATTTATTTTGTTAGATGATGTAAAGCAGTCAGAAAGTGAATAATCTTGATTGTTGCAGTATGGAAATTGCATTTTTGTGGAGTGTTAAACTGTGATTGGATCTCATTATTGGACATTAACTATCATTGATTCCAAGTTAATGATCAGCGTTTTAATGTGATTCAAATAATATTTTTCATATTGGTTTGATTTAGTGGTTAAGTGCACGGACTCTAATCTGGGAGAACCGGGTTTGATTCCTCACTCCTCCACTTACACCTGCTGGATGACCTTGGGCAAGCCATAGTTCTGGCACAGCTGTTCTTGAAAAAGAGCCGTTTCTGTCAGAGCTCTCTCAGCCCCACCTACCTCACAGGGTGTCTGTTGAGGGGAGGGGAAGAGAAAGGAGTTTGTAAACCGCTCTGAGACTCCTTTGGTAGTGAAGGGCGGGGTATAAATCCAATCTCTTCTTTTTCTTCTTCTTCTTCTATTATTCAACAATGATAAAAGATTTGATTCTTAATGTACAAGATTTGTTCCATCATGTAAGGTAAATTACAACCCACAAATGGTTTAGTTTAGAATAGCTTTATAAAAGACTGGCTAGATAGGTAGCGTAGGTTCATAATGCTAGTTAAATTCTTGTATTTTTGATTTTGATTTGTAGAAAAAAAGTCATGTTATAACTATGCCATCAATGTCATTACCTATAAAATAGTTTAATAATGTACTGGTGCTTAAAATATATGTTGCACTTTATGTGATCAAAACTCATGCCAATAACAAAAGGCAGAAAAAGTAAATAGAAATGAATATCATATTTAGTTGTGGATTTTTAATGCCAAGTTTCATTCAGGTCAATTCTATAAAATGTTCATTTTCAATTCTCAGCTCATTAATTTATTTGAATTATTAAACCAATCAAAATATGTTTATGGTAACTTTTAATAGAAAATTATGAGTGGTTTTATTGAAATGCTTCAGGGGTTGTTTTCTGTGTGGCATTCTCTATGGTCTGTCTATACCAACTTGAATTAGAGAGGAAAATCTTTACCAGAGTTCAAGGCATGTAGCTCAGATACAGTACACTGATAACTCAGTAACCCTGTGCTGATCTTGCTGCCACTGAAGGGCTATTCTAACATTGATTCTATTCCATATGTTGGGAGCAGGCCTGAAGTTTATTAGTTTCTTCCCTGTTGGACTCATGATGAACATCTTCATCATCCCACCTTTGCTCCTTATGTGGTACTTAAAAGGAAACACCCAAACTTGAAGATACTGGGTTGGTTTTTTTGAGGGGGTGGATATTGAACATTCTTTCAAAGCAAATTCAGTATCTACAGTCAAAGGGATTCAGATAACTAGGAAATCCCTTAGTTTCAAATGTCAATGTCGGGGCACAGAAGGGAAGCAAGGAGAAAGCTTCTGTGCCCTAGATCCACTCCTATTTTCAATCCCCAAAGGAGTGTCGATAAGGAGTAAATCGTTGACTTCTATGCCCATATCAGTGTTTTACCTAATTATTGCACAAATTTTGCTAAATAGCAGTAACTCTACATGTTAAAATCTCCTGTCAGGAAGAAGTAGCTATTAATTTGATCTAGTACTGGTATAAAAAAATGACAGCTCTCTACTGAGTCGTCTTCCTTACTCCATTAACATTTAAGCACACTTCTAGTTTCCCCACTGTTGGAAGTGACAGCCAGTGATGTGGTTCAGAAAACTCACATGATGACATTATTACAACATGAGTTTACCTAAATGTTACAGGAAGAGGGAGAAAAATTAGACATAGAATATCTTCTTTGTGGTCTCTGGCATCACACCTCTGGGATATAGTGCACCTGCGCTGACCCCAATAAGTATAATGGAAAGCAAAAGGGATTTTCACACCCGCTCCCCAGTCACATGCCAGGCTCCAGTGCACATGACTAGAGGAGGGGCACAATGATCCCACCAGTTCTCGTCTGATCGCCGTGCTGGTAGGATCTTCTCCACCTCGGTCGGTAAAACTTTGGCCTTCGGGTCTCTTCTCTCCTTTCTTGGATTGTTAGTTAGTTAGGGAAGTAGTTTTTTGTAGTTAGTTTCCTTTTGGACTTAAAATCTCTGCTTCAGCAGAACTCCTCTGCCCCTCCCTCTGGCCTATGGCCAAACAGTGGAGTTTCTTCAAGCGGTGCTGGAAGTGCGGTAATAAATCCCCCCCCCCCGGATGGACACTCTCTTTGCCTTTTGTGCCTGGGGGAATCGCACCGAGTAGACTCTTGTGTCCATTGCTTTAAATTCTCCAAACAAACCCAGAGGAATCGGGCAGCCAGACTTCGCATGGGATTGTTGGAGTTAGCTCTTTCACTGATGGCTTTGTCACAAGACACATCAGGGCATGCCTCAATGTCAACTCCTGCATTGGGATCGACGGCTGCACTGTCTCTGACATCGGCCCATGTTGACGCCGATAGATGGGTACTGAAATGCTCGATTCCGGCACCTCAGTCCAAAACCTATAACCCTCTAAAAAAATGCAGGGAGGGCAAGGACGATCGGCCTATCAAGCATAAGAAGCATAAAAAGGGCTCTCCCACCATGATCCCATCGACTCCTCACTGGGCTGTGGGAGCGATGTCCTCAGGAGCGGCTTTGCTTGATTTATCTGGCCATGGGCAGCCACAAGGTGCACCTCATTCACCTTTGCTATGCCCCATCCAGTCCATGGACTCTGAGTAAGACATGGACTTAACCCAGGTCCCCCTCTCCCCCAGTGTCAAGAGCTTACACTCAGAGTGCGGAGCGAACATTTCTGTCTACCCCTCTCCGCATGGACCTGACAATTGGGATCAACCTATGGGATCTTTCCAACCCACTCCTCCCACTTGGGATCAACACCAGTGGCAGTACCTGTATGGGGCCTATCTATTTCCAGGAGGCATGCCATGGCTTCCCCCACGTCCACCAATGGAGTGGGATCACCACTCTTCTTCATCCCAACTCTCTCAGTATTGAGACCCTCTCCCAATGCCGGAGTTCATCAGACCTCAGCTATCACAACCAATATCCAAGCATCATAATCTGCCATCGTCGGCATCGACAAAGTTTAAAGAACCATCAGAGCCAACACCATCGACACCGATTCTCCAAATGTCATTTTCTAAACCCTCAGATCATTCCAGCTGCTCTGATTCGTCACAGTCTGCTGATGAAGACCCACATCCTTCAGTGGAACCTTCTCCACCTCAACAAGTAGGGGATGGTCTCCCAATATCCCCTTCTGAAGACGTCAAGTCTTATGGGGACTTTGTTAAGTGAATGGCCAATACACTGGCCCTGTCAACTGTCCAACCACCTCCAGCAGTAACAGATTCAGTTTTCGACATCGTCCAGATGGACACTTCGACAGCTGTCACTCTCCCCATGACTTTGGTCCTCTTGCAAACGGCTAAAGCTCCCTGGTCGCATCCTTCTTCCATCCCTATTTCCAGCAAACGGATGGATCATATGTATAAGGTGCAGGAGACGGGAGCAGAATTTCTGTTCATCCACCCCAAACTGAACTCCGTGGTTGTGACTTCCTCAGCCAAAGGCAAGTGCAGCCATTCCATACCTTCTGACCAGGAGGGTAGGAAACTAGACACATTCGGTAAAAAAAATCTACACCGCGGGAGCATTGGGCATCAAAACCTCCAATTATACTGCCTGTATGGGATGATATCAGTATGCCCTATGGTGTCACGACAGGGCCAGTGGGGCAAGGCATAGAGGGGGAGTTCACATTCCAGTCTGAGAATCAAGCCAGAGAGAGAGCAAAACAAACAGAGCAAAAGTCCCAATACATAAAGCCAGGCCATAGTCAGAGTGTTACCGAGAGTCAGAGTCCAGATACGCAAGCGTCGAAGTCAGTGTGCAGAGCTGAAGATCAAGAGCCAGGGGGTCGTCAAAATGCGGACTGGAGTCAGGAACCAGGAATTCAGTCAGTAGCCGGATATCAGGAACAGAGTCAGAGGGGCAGAGCTTCTGGTCCGAAGGATGAGTTTGCCAGCAGTCAGCGACCTATTCAGATAGCTCGCTGGGTTGTTAACTCATTAGTGCCTCATTAGCACTGCCTCACAAAGTCCTTGATCCTGCTAGAACTCCGGGCTTATTGATCTCCAACTGCGCAAGCGTGCCTCTTTGCACCTGATTGCCAGGTCCCGGCGTCTCTGATCCCTCAGCCGGTCGACAGGTGGCGGAGAATCAGGTGGCGTGCTGCGGGGGCAGGCATGACATATGGGAACATATGTCTGAATTTATTGCTGCTCTCCTGGACGACCTCAACCATCAAGCTAGACGAATGCAGAAGGAGAGCATGCTTTTGGTGAAGCACCAACTCAATGTCTCCAAACACACACTTGATGTTGCAGCCAAGACCCTCACCTCATCTATTGCCCTTCAGCACCATGCATGGCTACGATCCACGGCACTACAACAGGACACCAAGGCTATTGAAGAGTACCTTCCCTTTGAAGGTGATGGACTCTTTAGCTCAACTACTGATATGGTGTTGCAAGAGCTCAATAAGAGCATCAAAATGTCTCGCAAATTGGGGGTCACATCAATCCCTAAGCATAGCAAAGGGAAACCTTGGAATAAGCAGTGGTCTCGCAGACCCTCATCAAAATCCTCACCTGAGCTACAATGGCAAAGATCCCCTAGCAGCTCTTCGCACCTGTATGGGGGGAAAACTAAGTTCTTGTCCGCCTCTCTATCTAGAGCGAAGGCTCCAAAGGTTCCTAAGCAGAATCTTTGACTCCAGCCTTTTTCTGATGTCCCCCACTCACCTGTCTCCCTACTTGCCCACTTGGCAGCATATAGCGTTGGACCAATGGGTCCTCTCAATTATCAAGGAAGGATACCTTATAGAATTTTTCAGTTCCCTATGACTGCCAACTTTGTAGTCACCCCGTCCTCTCAATTATCAAGGAAGGATACCTTATAGAATTTTTTCAGATCCCTACGACTGCCAACTTTGTAGTCACCTCATCCTCGGACATGCTTTTAGCAGAGATCCAGAACCTCTTCCAAAAAGATGCCATAGAACCAGTGCCTGTAGCCCAACATCAAACAGGTTTCTATTCCCATTACTTCACGGTCTCAAAGAAGGACAGAGGCCTCCGCCCCATTATGGACCTCAGAAACCTAAAACACTTCATCACCTACAAGAAATTCAGAATTACTACTTTGCAAAACATCCTCCCACTCCTAAACCGGGGAGTATGGATGGTGACCTTGGATCTCCAAGACGCATATTTCCATGTGCCCATTCATCCAACCCACAGGATGTTTCTGCAGTTCACAGTAGGAAACAGATATTTTCAGTACAAAGCCCTTCCTTTTGGTTTGTCCATGGCACCTCGAGTCTTTACAAAAGTATTGGTGGTCATTGTAGCATACCTTCGATTAAAAGGCATCCAAATATTCCCATTAATCGACAACTGGTTGCTAGTGGCAGATTCTGAGACCTCCCTGCTCAGCCACATCAACCTGACCTTGACCACCCTAGAAACCTTGGGTCTCAAGGTGAATCTCAAAAAATTGATGTTACTCCCCTCCACACGAGTTCAGTTTATAGGAGCAATCCGGGACTCCACCATATGCAAAGCGTTTCTTCCTCTCCAAAGGGCAAGTGACATTGTCGATCTCATAGATCTCTTTTGTCGAAAAGAAAAGGCCTCTGCAAGGCAAATCCAGCGATTGTTGGGACTGATGGCAGCCACCACCGCAGTAATTGTCTTGCCAGGCTCTGGATGCAGCCACTGCAACTGTGGTTTGTTCGGAAATTCCATCCACAACCTCAATCTCAAAGGTTCGTCTTCCCATCAGACGTATTAGACTCACTACTCTGGTGGAAAAGTCTGCAGAATCTCCTAGTGGGAGCACCGTTCCACCCGCCAACCTTGACACACTGGCCACAGATGCGTCCCTCTGGGAATGGGGTGCGCATGTCAAGGGAATTTGTGTAGGAACTCGATCGGAACCTCATGTAGCCCACCACCACATCAATTTCCTGGAACTGCTGGCCATCTAATACGTACTCAGATCTTTCCACCACATAGTGACCCATCAGGTAATCACTGTTCTCACTGACAACACCACAGCCCTTTGTTATATCAACCAGCAGGGAGGCATGGTATCCAGGGGACTGTGTCGACTGGCCCTAAAAATCTGGGATGAATGTCAGTTGTGGGACACCTTTCTAAGAGCCACCCATCTGCCGGGGGCTCTGAATATGCAGGCGGATTTCCTGAGCAGAGGAGGTGCATCATGGCATGAGTGGGAACTCAACTGGACATACCTCCAGCTGATATTTCACAAATGGGGTCATCCAGATGTGGACGTGTGCACGACACACCAGAACAAGAAATGTTTTCTGTTCTGTTCCAGAGTGGGGGTGGACCCATTGTCCCAGGGGGATGGTCTTCTCTTCCCATGGTCACACAGGCATGTGTTCCTCTTCCCTCCGACTCCTTTACTCTCCAAGGTAACTGTCAAAATATTGAGAGAAAAATCGCAATGTATCCTGGGGACTCCGTGGTGGCCCCGACAACACTTGTTCCCCACTCTGCTCCACCTATCCAAGGGCTCCTTCACCCACTTTCCTCCGGCACCGGATCTTCTCCTTGCTCAGATAGGGCAGGTTAGGGTTAGGGTTAGATAGGGCAGGTACTACATCACGATGTGCCACACCTCAAGCTCACTGCATGGAGGGTCCTCTTTTAATGTTCAGAGACAGGATAGACTATGTCTTATTGAACTGTCGCAAGCTGTCTACACGAGCTTCTTATGCTGGGAAGTGGAAGAAATTCTTATCTTTACCTCAGTTTGTTGGGATTACTGCTCCGTCGGACTTAGTGGTGGTCTTTGGTTTCTTGTTGTCCTGTTTGGACTTGGGCCTTAGTGGTGCCTCATTAAAGGTGTACTTAGCTGCCATTTCTGCTAATCATCCAACAGTGGATGGCCACTCTATCTTCTCTCACCCACAGACCAAAAAGTTCCTGAAAAGCTTGAATCACCTTTTTCCTCTATTGTGTGGCCCTACTCCAGTATGGGACCTATCCCTGGTGCTCACGAGACTTATGGGCAAACCTTTCAAGCCCATGGCTACTTGTAGTTTGCAGCTTTTGTCCTGGAAGACAGCCTTTTTAGTAGCCATCACATCCACTAGGAGGATGAGTGAGCTGTCAGCGCTTCAGTGTGATTCCCCGTACCTGAGTTTTCATCATGGCGGGGTTATGTTGGCTTCATATGTTTCATTCCTGCCTAAAGTGGTTTTCGAGTTTCATCTCGAAGGGAGCGGTGGCGCAGGCAGTAAGGGAAGCCTGCTTTAACATCTGGGTGAACAGCTTCGGCGGTTCGAACCCCACCGCGGTCAGGGTGAGCTCCTGGCCCTATGTCCCAGCTCCCGTCCACCCAGCGGTTCGAAAGCCCGTTAAAGGGCAAGTAGATAGAATGGGTACCTGCTATTAGAGCGGGGGGGCACCCTTCCCTGGCAGAGCAGCGATGGCGGAGAGCAGAGAACGGAGAGCGATGAACGGCGGTGGCGGAGGAAAATGGTGGCTGACGAGGCGAGGAGGCGAATTAAGGAGGCCGAACCAACAAGGTGTGGAGGCAGAGCGACGCGGCAGGCCGGAGCCTGACTTGGATGGAGACCGCTGTGAGCATGCGCAGAAGCATGGAGTGGTCCAGGCCTGGAGGCAGAGTTGCGACAGCCGGAAAAAGCGGAACAGCGAAGACCTGCGCCGGAGGAGGGTCGCTGCCGGACTGTCCCCTCGCCATACAAAGATCTGCTACAACACAGGATAAGGGTGCCTGGTAGGTTTCTCACCTCCCCTCCATATGTGGCCCTAGATTAGATTGCCTAATTGGAATTGTAAGCCGCTCAGAGCCCCTAGGGGATGAGCGGGATAGAAGTTGAAGGATAAATAAATAAATAAAATAAAATCTGCAAGCGGACATTGTCCTCCCAGTATTCTTCCCATCCCCTGAGACTGATGAGAAACACAGTCTTAGTTCACTGGACGTCAAAAGGGCTTTTCTTTTCTTCCTGAATAGGACATGGCCTTTCAGAAAGTCACTGGCCCTGTTCATTTCCTATGCTTTACCTGCTCAGGGTAAGAAGCTGTCGTCCCAGTGTCTCTCCAATTGGATCGTAGAGATGATTAAACTATGCTACTCTCTGGCAAAGAAGCCACTCCCGGGCCCGCTCCAGGCACATTCCACTCGGGCAGTAGCGACATCCACAGCCTTGCTGCGAGATGTGTAAGACATCTGCAATGCAGCTATTTTGGCCACTCCGCACATGTTTGTGAAGCATTATGCCCTAGATGTACGTCTTCATCAATGTTCTGTGGTGGGACAAGCTGTGTTGCAGGCGGCACAGATCTAGGACCTTCATCTCCCTCCTCCTGGTAGGCATGTACTGCTTGTTAATCTCCCAGAGGTGTGATGCACAGAGACCACAAAGAAGATAAACAGGTTGCTTACCTGTAACTGATGATCTTCGAGTGGTCATCTGTGCATTCACACCACCCACCCTCCTTCCCCTCTGCTTTCGATCCTTTCCTTTCTTTAGAGACTGAGGGCAGCAGTCAGAAGGAACTTCAGGGATCGTCATGCCCCTCCCCTAGTCATGCGCACTGGAGCCCGGCATGTGACTGGGGAGCGGGCGTGAAAATCCCTTTTGCGTTCCATTATATTCTGGGGAGCGGGCGTGAAAATCCCTTTTGTGTTCCATTATACTGATTGGGGTCGGCGCAGGCGCACTATATCCCAGAGGTATGAATGCACAGATGACCACTCGAAGATCCTCAGTTACAGGTAAGCAACCTGTTTTCCTATTTTAGCACCAACCCCACATTGAATTAAATGTCTAATGCTATTCTTAGGTATATATTGGGATAAGAAAAAGTTTTTTCTCCTTTGGGATAGCGGTGGTGCTTAATTTTTAAAGTGAGGAATGCCAACACAGCAACTTTCCTGAAGCTAGGTATGCATGAGTCAATGATACTTATTTGCAATTAGGACCTTGGGTTCATGATGGAAAGAAAAGTTGAGATATAAATGTAAGAAAGAGAGGAAGCCTTCCTTGAAATCATGCTTTATGACTTTAATGCTCTACCTTTTATCCCCATTATGTGCAATTAGTTGACATTTTATTTTAATATTTTATGTTCCGTTGCTGAGCCATAACACTGGAAGTATGTTCTGGAGTTGTATACTGGTAAACCTAAGTAAATACAATAGCTTTGGGATAGATTTACTGTGACTATTAAGCAAAAAGAGCATTTGTTGCCTTAACTTACAGAAACATAGCTGGTGAGGTTTTTACTGCCATTTATTTCCTGGCTATTTTCTTTGTTAAAGGCACAAGAACACATCCATTAAAAGAGAAGGTTGTAACCCAAATGTGTCAATTTTGAGGAAATTAATTTTTTTGGACTTCTAAACTATTTTAATTTGGGAGGGTGGGAATTGACTTTCTAGGTATTTATTATCCCTATTGTTTGTATTTTCATCACTGCTGTCTAGGCCCTATCCACACATCCTTTCTACTCCGACAGCTCAAACAATGTCTGCCTATGCCGGTCAGACTCAGTATTCAGGAATGCAGCAGCCAACAGTGTATACAGCCTATTCACAGACTGGGCAGCCTTACAGTTTGCCTACTTACGGTATTTGCTTTCCACTTGTTCTTTATTCTAAGAGTAAATTTGAATCGTGGAATTGCTGTGCTTTTTCTTCCCATCTATAAGAATTGGTTGAAAATTAAATTTCTTACACAGATTTGGGTGTAATGTTGCCAGGCATCAAGACGGAAAGTGGACTTTCACAAACACAGTCACCATTGCAGACCGGGTGCCTTAGTTACAGCCCAGGGTTCTCCACACCACAGCCAGGCCAAACACCATATTCTTACCAAATGCCAGGTCAGTAATCTGTCACTTTCCTTTATTCTATTTTACTATTTTTGAAATATTTTGGAACCCTTGAATTTCTTATATATGTAACGAACAACATTAATTTTATTGGAAATCTTTTCTTGACTATTTAAAAGATTGAGAGTGCGGTCACATGTGCCAGAAAACATGGGGGGGGGGAAGCGAGGCTTTTGCTCCGTAGTAATTCGACCCGCACACGCATGATTAGACGCAACAGTGGGTGAATCGTGTTTTTTTCTTCGCCGCATGTTTCCGGTGCGCTTCAACGAGGGATCACTGATGCAATGGGAGCACGCTGGAGCGATCACACGGGGAAGTCCGTCTGCGGCCCGTCGCAAACCTATTTGATACAGCACTTTCCCCGGTATTTTTTAACTCCACTTCTTTGGTGGAGCGAAACGGGTTGCCGATGGGTGCGGGGCGCTTGCCAGATGTTCCCTTGTGATCGCACCCTTAAAATCCACCCGGCAATCATGCCTATCGCGCAGCTAATTCTGCATGTGATCGGGACCTGAGTTCTGTATAAATACCATAGTAATCTTGTAATAGTAATAATGCCATTCATTATTTTTACCTTACCTTAATCCATTTCTTTGCCACTAATGAATCGTGGAAAATGTTTTATGTTGGAAATCCAAACATTGGCCAGCAGTATTTTAGGCCCTTATAATTATTAAATGGGCACCAGCATTATAGAAATCAATTTACTTTGGATCCTCGGTCACTGAAGCTTTCTGAGTATAGACCCAAGGTGGCATAATGAATAGCTATGTCATCCCATTTTTAAAAACCCTTCCCCCACCAGTCTTATGAATTGCACATTCCATACATCTGTAATAGTAGGTTTCTTATCCTTCTGTCATATTTAGCTGTTTTGCCAATACAGGTGCTTTTACATTAGAGTTTCACTATAACAACACTGCTAATTTTGAAATGTGTCCCTAATAAACCTATATAGAGACTTCCTCCTGTAATAATTCTATTAATCTTCAAAAACACCCCCACATATCATATTTTGAACTGTGACATGTCATCTTAATGCATCTCTGAATAATATGAATTTGTTCAGCAGTTCTGATTAGAGCCCAGGATGCTCTGTTTAATGTAAATGTATTTTAATACACAAATTCGCTGTTCATAAATCCAAACATTTCCAGGCAATATAGGATATTGTCCAGTAACTACTAAATTGGGGGTCTGCAATGTCAACAGGAAATAATATGATAAAGGTATGATGATAAAGTATCCATATTGCAGACTGTCAGGTTCTTTTTGAGACTGCATGTATGTCTGGCCAAAATAATTAAGAACATAAGAAGAAACTTCCCAGATCAGACTGTAGTCCATATAGTCCAGCATCGTGTCTCACATAGTGGCCAACCAGTTACTCTGGAGGTCCAACAACAGGGCATACAGGCTGAAGCATTCGCCTGATGTTGCCTCCTGGTGCTGGTATTCAGAGGTTTATGGCCTCTGAAAGTGGAGGAACTGTTTAGTCACCATAGCTAGTAGCCACTGATAGACTTATCCTCCATGAATCTATCTAACTCCTTTTAAAGATGTGTGTGCCTATGGCCATCACTACATCCTTTGGCAGCAAATTCCACATTTTAATCACTCATGTAAAGAAGTGTTTCCTTTTGTCTATCCTGAGTCTTCTGCCCATCAGCTTTGTTGGATGTTGCTGAGTTCCAGTATTTTGGGAAAGAAAGAAAAAGCTTGTCCACTCTCTCTACCTTTATAATCCTCTATCACATTGCCCCTTAGTTGTCTCTTTTGTTAACTGAAATATCCTAAACTCTTCAGACTTTTCTCATAAGGAAGGTGCTCAAACTTCCTAATAATCTTGGTTGTCCTGTTCTGTACTTTTTCCAGCTGTGTATATTTCTTAATTGAATAGATTTCCACTCCATTGCCTAAATTGCATTTGGCAATTGGTTTGGAAAATGTAGGGAGGTCTTGGTAAGCAGCTCACCGTTAAAAGAGTAAATGTGATATATTTTGTTAACATTTATGTTGTTCTAACAGAAGCATACAGATCTTCCCACATTTCTCATGGCCAGCCCTTCTCTAGGGACAGATACGAACCGAACCACGAAGCAAAATTCATCACAAATTTTGCCCTGTTTGTGGTCTGCAAACTGCACTTTTAATGCAGTTCACAAAGCAGTTCGCTTCTCCCTAGGAAAACTCTGGCCATTCAAACAGCATAACCAGCAGAAAGAAGGATAAAATGAGCAATAATAATAAAAACAGAGATCTCAGTTGACACCTCAGTTGACAGAAGTACCATCATCATGAACAGCTGTTAACATAACAAAATTGCCTTGGCCAGTTTTCTAAAAATTAGGAGACATGGGGCAAAATATGCCTATCAGGGAGGAAGTTCCATAGTCTTAATAACACCACCATGAAGTCCCTATCATATGAACAGTGCAATCTATGAAAGTTCTGGACACCAGCCTGGGTGGACTAGCAGGGGGTCATCTCATTTTCCTGTAACCCCTTCCCCACATTATTTCCTATTTTCCTCTTCCTGGCAGCCCCCATATCCTCACCTACTCCTACTTCCTTTTCTCCTTCCTTTTCACCCACCCATCAACATACCATTTAATTGCCCCCTATCTTCACCTATATTTATTATTTATTTACTTTATTTATGGGGAACCAAAGCAGCTTACTGCATGGATGTGAGGGCGATCTGGCTGCAACATCTGTCACCCCATTGATCGCCAGGGTTGATTCGGCTGATCTGGTTGGCTAGGCGGGTGTCCCCTACCTCCCTCACCACTCCATGTGCGTCCCTCCCGAAGCTGTGCACTTGGTTGAAAAGGACGACCATCCCAGATAGCAGGAGTGTACTGTTCTTCAGTCAAGGGTATATGATAGCTTACTGCATTCTCCTCCCCTCCCCTCTATTTTATTCTCACAACAACCCTGTGAGGTAGGCTAGGTTGAGAGCAGGTGACTGGCCCAAAGTCACCCAATTGGGCTTCCTTGGCAGAGTGGGGATTTGAACTTTAGTATCCCAGATCCTAATCTGAAACTATGGCCACTAAGCAATACTGGCAGTCATGGGCTGTCTGCTGTTGAACAGTAGCAAGAAGCCGTTCCTGAGTGAGTCATGCAAGTCTCGTGGTAGCAAGCCTCCTGGTGGTTGTTCTCAGGTCTGGTCCCAGCTAGTCCTTCTTCAGAAGCCAAAACAATCCTGGAAAGTGCCGGGTCCTTCCCCCCCCCCACACACACCTTTTACTGACAGAAACCAAGGTTGGCAATGTTGTTTTAGTTGCCTAGCAATGGCTACTGAGGGCATTCATTTCTTAAAGCTGTAGGTGCTGCTTGTATTTTTATAGAAAATGTATTTTTAAAGCTTCAGATATTTCTGCAGATCAGGTTTGATGAAAGATCTGTTGTGTGTGTTCATGGCTCCAGTCTCTGGATTTAAGTGTCCACTGATGGGGCCATGCTCATAATTAGACAGATTGATAAGAATTAGTGACTCTCTTCCAACACCAACACCATTCACCATTTTCTCCTAACCATCAGTAACATAGGTCAACAGTATACTACTGGTACTAGATCACTCAAAAAAACAGCCAGAAATAAGAGGAAGATAGGTAGCTCAGTCTAAGGGGGCTCTCTGAATTAAAGGGTAGAGTCAGAGTTTGTGGATATGTGCTTCTGTTAATCTGATTTCCTGTACATAGAAGTAATGGGAAGAGAGGAACTAAAATGTGGGCTCCTGCTACATTTTTGAAGCGTCCTATTCCATTGTTCCTGCTGCATAACCATGCATTTCCAAAATCCCTTAACTAAAGATCATACTGATAGATCTGTGCATTTCACTGAACATTTTTTTAGGATATTTTAAGAATTAAATGTCCACTTTTGGCTTTTAATTTGTCTGCTTAGTAAGTGATGTTTACCTAGCTCTTATAGGGAATTATTCTTTTAACTCTAGGTTCTACTTTTACACCATCATCCACTATTTATGCAAACAGTTCAAATTCTACAAACTTCAGTAGTTCACAACAGGTATGATTATTATTTTTTCTATAAAATGCAAAGTATTATGTATTTTCTTTGGCAATTGTAAATATTTTGAATTGACAAGGATTATTTTAATGCTGTAGTTTCAATTTGTTTAAATCTTAATATATTTTAAAATATTGCTTTTACTATTTTAGGATTATCCCTCTTATACAGCTTTTGGCCAAAACCAGTATCCACAGTATTACTCAGCATCAACATATGGAGCATATATGACCTCAAATAGCACTGCAGATGGTACCTCTTCTTCATCATCAACATACCAGCTTCAGGAATCTCTGCCTGGGCTGACTAGTCAACCAGGTACAGATCTTCATTCAGGTGAAAAAAGAATTATGTATTCCATACATTTAGGAAGTGGTTTTCAGAACTGCTAGTCATTATGTAAATATGTTTTATTTGTAATTATTTACAGCTAATGATTTCTTGGTTTTAAAAATCAGTATAGAAAATAATAATCACTAACTGGAAGGGAATAGCCAAATGTTGGACAGGTCAAAGCTGACAGTTCAGTCTCTGAATGAATTGGGTTCCATGCTCGCAAAGAATCTCTGCATTGGTACAATCACTGCCATATGCAGAGAAGCACAATACACTCTTATCCTTTGGAAAGAAATGGGATTCTAATTATAATGCAGTACCAGAGGTAAGAAAGACCCTTGCTGTCCTTTCCAGGCACAGGCACTCCCAGCCTATGTCAAATTATTCCAAAAGGCTGCATCACTGCTGTACTTGTATATCTTTGAAAGGGAGAGAAAATGAATACTTTTATATCCTGGTTATCTAATGCCATGACTGTATTCGTTCTTTATACTATTCCCTTTAGTCTTTAATTCCTGTCATGACTGTATTCGTTCTTTATACTACTCCCTTTAGTCTTTAATTCCGTGTAACCCCATTCATAGTTTGAAGCACATTCACAGAAATTACGTTTTAAACCAAAAGAATAGCTTTATCCATAGGAACTGAGATATGGGGACAAAGATGAAAGACAATAAACATTTAGCTTAGTAAAACTTGACCTTCATACTAGGCAGACAAATTTACAAGATTTAGTGGGAAATCTTCAAAGCAGTTACTGGTCTCCTCATGCCCAACAAATGGGATGGGGATGATTGGAGAACCAAAGTTGGATATTGAGAAGACAACAAAAGCAATGCATTCAAGCATATACATTGATGAATTACCAACTGCAGATGTTCCACCCTAGATACTATCAGGTTTATAAACTCAAAAAAGAGTTCCGCTCCATACAAAAAGTAATTCTTTCTCCTTAAAAGTTTATGTATACAATTTAGGTTCATACTACTTCAGTAATTCATGAACAGTGGGAATAGATCATACCCACTCAGAATTTACTCTTTTTACTGTGCTGTTTACTCTTTTCACTGGATCAGGAATTAATCTGTACTCAGCAATGCAACATAACACAGCTTGTCATGGGAAAGTGGTTCTTCTAACCTGTCTTTATAACACCCGCACACAGAAACCTCCATCTACAGTTTGAAGCTCTGGGTAAAAATCTCTCTGCTGACCTCTGGTTTATGAAAGTGTATGCCACATTTGTTTTTAAGGTGACACAAGACTGTTATTTCCCCTCAGCAGGTAGACATGCCTATGTCGTCATGATTTTCAAAATGTTTGTATAGCAGAGTGGCTTATCTTGGCATCTGCTGGTCTACAGCATTGACTTTTTGATGTACATGCAAATTATCATCAGGCTTCATGTTGAAGTCCAGGCAGGATAGCTCACAATATATTTAATATAACGTATTTTACTATCTTTATCTCCTCCAGTACTGAAGAATATTATAGGAAAGGCTAGGGATGATCAGCATCTCAATTCTGCTCAGTGAAATCAGTTGGTAACCTACTCTTAATTGCCATTATTATAGAGTTTAGATTTTTTTCTTATTAAGAGCTGGAATAGTTATGAATAGGAAATGTACTAGGTGCTCCTGACTGCTTGAAGTTCCATCATAGGAAATATAAAGCCCTGCTGGATCACATCAAGGATCTATCTGGTTCAGCATTCTGTTTCTAAGCATTAACCAGTCAGATGTTTCCAGGATGCCCTTAAGCAGGGATGCAGAAGCTACCCCCCCCCCATAGTTCTGACCCAACATATGTAATATAGTCCTTTAAATAAGCGGG